ATAAAAAAGAACAACAAGATAAATAATCTTCCTACTAAAACACACAGATCCTGCTGTGGATGCAACATGAGCACTTGCTGAAATATATTTTAAAATAGTTTTGTTACTCAGGAAATCCAACTTAGGGGAAACATTACAAAATGTAAACAAAGAGAAGAAAATTAAACTCACAGTTACACTGCTAACATGCTGGTACAGAGCTTTCTTAATAGTTTTTAACATGAATATCTTAAAATTGGATCAAAATGGATCAAATTTAAATAAAGCTAAATTGCATAAAAAATTGGATCAAATTATGAAAGCAACTGTTTTCACTTTTATTAAATTTTGCTTTTCTAAAACAAACATACACATTCTTTTTTAATGTAAAAGTAACACAGAGTTTATAATAAAATAGTGCCCCGTCCCCCCCGCCTACCCCTGGGTCTTGCTCTGCACTAACAATTCTTTTCAACTTCCTTGGTTGTTTCATCCAGCATGTTGTTGTATATTTCTAAATCCCAAGTTTCTGCAAGCATTTCTTGACTTTTCATTTTAGACATTATCTAAAGACTTCATTCCTACTATGGCAAATGAGGATTTCCCGTAAAGATTTACACCCTTGGAAACCCTGTACAGGGTCGCTATGGGTCGGAACCGACTCGATGGCACTTCACAACAACAACAACAACAACTATCCTCTTCCCACTTAGTTGTTGCTGTTAGGTGCCGTATAATCAGTTCTGACTCATAATGACCCACACACAACAAAATGAAACACTGCCCGGTCCAGCGCCAGCCTCACAATCATTACACTAGAGATCACTGCTGCCGCCACTGTGCCAACCCATCTCACCGGAGTTCTTTACTGCTGACCCTCCACTTCACCAAGCATGATGCCCTTCTACAGTGACATCCTAACAACCTGTCATAATTCCCTTCATTTCCTCCCACCCCCGCTTCCTGTTAGTTGGCTATATTACAAATTTTGGTGAAATGTTTAGGTTTGTATTATTGTAACTATAGAATTATTCACATCTGAGCTGCAAAGTATATCACTTGTACTTTTTACTTTGCCTCATATTTTCTTAGGCTTTTAAGCACTTATTACTACATTGGGAGTGCAGTGGTTCCATATGATAAGCACTGGACTGTAAACCACAAGGTCCGTGGTTCGAGTCCACTAGTCACTTCACAGAGAAAGAGGAGACTTTCTGCTCCCGTGGAGACATTAAGCCTCAGAAACCCTATACAGGGTTGCTGTGCGTTGGAAATGACTTGACGGCACTTAACAACAACATACTGTCAAACTCAAATCTACGAGAAAGCCAACACTTCTCAATATAACTGACGAGCTAACTAATCAATTCCTTCTTTTGCCCACTGTTCTCCTGCCAATGTGGATGCCTGCTCTCCAGGTTTGAAGCCTGGATGCTAGCCTGTACCTTCCTTTCTGCATCTCCCATGTTGGATCTAGGTCCATGCACTCTGACCAAATTCCAGTATTTCCAGGAAAACAAATAAACAAACAAAACTAAATCACAGAAAAATGAACTATAAACTGTCACAGAAGGGGTTTCTTGAATATTTCTTCATTTTGAGAAATCACACCTTCTAATAGTTTTATATAAGAAGGTAACTGGGAAGTGAATTTTCTGAGATAATATCTTTCTTCAGCCTACTCTTAAAGTTGTTGATACTATGGTTCAATGTTACATTCAAAATTATTTTCCATAAATTTATGAAGGAGATCGTCACTGGTGTTTACACTTTCCAGTCCTTCCTATGTGACTCATCTTTTCTCTCTGGGTTACATGTTGATGTGCTTTGATTTGAGCCCCTCCTGGTCTGATTTGCTGTGCCACGTACTCAGTGAGCCCTTTCAGTCTGGACATCCTGTTCTCTAGTTCTGGGAAATCATTTTTTATTGGCTCATTTTCTCCTCCTCATCTTTTGTCTCCCACTGTCCACCTCTTCACTTTCTGTCCTACTTTCCAGAAGAGTGCCTCAATTTTATCCTCCAGCTTTCTAATGAATTTTTTATTTCTGCAATTCTTACATTTTTCTACATTTCTAAGAACTCTATCTTGCTTTTCAAATTCTTATTATTGCTGTTGTTACGTGCCTTTGAGTAGGTTCTGACTCACAGTGACCCTAATTAGGATTTCCAAGGAGCAGCTGGTGGGTTTGAACCCCAGTCTTGTGGTTAGCAGTCCAATGTGTCATAATGATCCATCTGATTCCTGCCTTTGTATTTCTGTTGACATCTCTCACTTGTTGCCCAATTTGAAACCCCCTCCCTACCCCATCTCTGCAACTGTCTTGGTTTTTTCCCCTCCTTTTTATTTTTTTATTGTAATTTCAAGAAGAAATAAGATAAATGTGTGTCAATTCACAAGCAATCCATACTCTTCTAGTTTGCTCTTTCACTAAATGGATAAGGAACATCTTTCTCTGTCTACAGCAAAGATACACTGTTTAACTCCCCATTTTGTGATGGTACCATAATTCCAATTAATCAATATCTGACTGTTGGAGCTTTAAGTGATTTTTTTTTGGGGGGGGGGTATTTTTTTATTGCTGTTATTGAAAATTCCATTGTGATGCACATCCTTGCAACTTAATCTTTTACACACAACGTAGTTACATTATTTAAGCCCACTCAAGAGTCCTGATACGGCACTATGGGATAAAGCACTGGACTACAAAGTAGGGTTGAACCAAAAGATCTGCAGTTCAAACTCACCAACCACTCCTTGGGCACCGTATGAGTCAGAACCCACTCGATGGCACTTAACAACACCAAGTCTCAGAGAAGTAGTCAGGTCCTATATACATTTCTAAGGCTTCTGATATTTCTCTGAGCCACTTACTACTCAAAATGGTCCTGTCTTGTCAGATTAAAATGCACAAATATACAAAGACAAATACTACCAAAGTATCTCATTGATCTGATAAGAATTTGGAGGGAAAGAAGATTGAAATGGGTAGGTAGCCAAGTGAGGTTCTGTACATCTACTGATTTCCATTACTCCAGCACTTATATCCCTTACTACTTGGGATAGTAAGGAATTAGTTATATATAATGACCCCCCAAAATACAAACAGGCAGTCAATCAGCTTTAATATGCACATACACACACCGAGAGAGTACATAGACACATAGACACATATGTTTGACTACTAACCTACTTATGACCATGGCTGTTATGACAGGCTCCCAGCCTGAGTGGAGGACTGTTCTTGTGGCTGGATGTTTGGCGGCTATTATAATCCAGATAGGCGTTAGAGCCAAGAAAAAGATACCAACTAATGGAGAAATATAGTAGTAGGTCTCTAAAATGGGGGGAAAAAAGGACATTTCAGTTTCTCTTTTCTCCATGAAGCAAACTTAAATTATTACAAGTGAAACTTACCGAGGATATGATGCTACAAATCACCTTAGCATGCTATATATTTTCTATCAATTTCAAGCAAATTTAAAACTGTAGATAAGGTATAAAAAAAAATATAACATACCTAAAAACTAATACATTTTAAGTTCAACACATACTTATTGAAATAACTATGTGATGTACATGGGAATAAAAACAAGAGCAACAGTAAAAATGAACATTTATTTGATTTCTACTATTTACCAGGCACTGTGCTAAATGCTTCACACTCATCAGATCATTTCATCCTCCCCAGAAATACAAGGTAACTCCACCCACAGCCATCAAGTCGATTCCGACTCACGGTGACCCGTAGTGACTCATGGTGACCCGCAGTGACTCGGGGTGACTCGTAGTGACTCAGGGTTTCCAAAACTGTACATATTTATAGGAGCAGACAGTCTCATCTTTCTCCCACAGACTAGCTGGTGAGTTTGAACTGCCAACCTGTGGTTAGCAACCCAGTACCTAACCCACAGCACCACCAGGACTCTTAGATACTGCCAGTATTTACTGCTTTATGAAAAAACTTAAGTTTAGAAACGTGGCCAAGTTTAAAAACGTGGCCAAGAAATAACAGTGTGGGAGGGGAAAAAGTTACATTATTTTCCCAAGACTTATCCAATGAATCTTAAAGTACAAGTTATTCCATAGAATAATGAACCCTAAATTGAAAATAGATGTCTTCTTCACCTTCATATGGTGTCCTGGTGTGGAGCTGTGGGTTAATTCGCTGGACTGCGAGGTTGATTTGAACTGTAAGGTCAATGGTTCTAGCTCACCAGTTTCTCCTAGGAAACCTTATACAGGGTTGAGTATGAATCAGAATGGACTCAACAGTACTTAGCAAAAACAACCCCTTCATATGTGCTCCAAGGTCTAAAGCAAAATTGAACAATTACATTTAATGACGTTCAACAGATTTCTTCACTGCAAATCTATTCAAAAATTTTAATACATTGAAATGGAAGACAGTACAGAGGATTAATCCAGTATGGCCAACAAACTGAGTTCTACTACACAGTTTCACATTTTGGTGTTAAAACTTACCAGGGACAAAAAATGTAACTTCTTTAAGATTTATAGTCTTGTCTTTAAATTGGTAATGATAATAACAGTGCCTGCTTCATGGAGTTGTGGGGCATTTCATTAACATTTATTAAGCACCTATCCTTGTTAACATCATCACCATTCTGAGCATCTCCTTACTTCGGAAGCACTGACTTAACCGAGTGCCAGGACTTGGTTTTATCGCTCTGTGGAAGAATTTCTTACTGATCACAAATATTCATTCTCTCCCCACTCTTGTTATGTTTTCCTTTAGAGAAAATATTTCTCTGTCTCACTGACTTGGGTTTTGGCCATCTGTCTAGGTTTGGACAATAGAATGCAAACAGATATGATGCATGCTACTTCTGAAGATGGAGATAATTTTAAATGTGTTTTCAGGAAAAATTAGAAAATCAAACACACACATACACACCTTTTTTCAGATACCAGACACTAAGAGAAGGGAAAGACGCATAAGATAAGCCCATAATAGTCCCAGGTGGCTGCCTGAAGGCACATTCCAGACCATATGTTAAAAGGGAGACTCCCAGCAGAGCACCATGGACTTGCCAAGTTGAGAAGACCAAAGACCTGTATGTTACTGCTGTCATTGTTGCTGCCATAGTGACCCCATGAGACAGAGTAGAACTACCTCACAGGGTTTTCTTGGGCATAATCTTTATGGAAGTAAATCACTAGGTCTTCTTCCCATGAAGCTACTGGATGGGGTATCATTTCACAAGGATAAGCCAAGAATGACCAGGGAGTTTTGAGCTTAAAAATACCTAGTTTATATAAGGCTGGGAGTCATTCAAGATGAAACAGAGAGGAAAGGCCTCTTTGAATACACCCAGAGCATTTAGTTGTTGTTGTTAAGTGCTATCGAGTCGATTCCGACCCATAGAGACCCTATGTAGGGTTTCCGAGGAGTAGCTGGTGAG